CCGTACCGTCGTACGTCGTCGTGTGTGTGTGTGTGTGTGTGTGTGTGTGTGTGTGTGTGTGTGTGTGTGTGTGTGCATATTAACATCTTAGGCCACATTTGCTGCAAGAGTTACTGCTTCATATTTCTCATGACAAAGGCGCCTTCCTTGAAATATTCCCCTCGTAGGTGCGGCTGGCTTCTCAATTCTCGCTGGAACTCGTACAGCGTAACAAATTACGGAGTGGGAAAGGAAGATTCCCAGCAGTTTTAATAATTCCGTGTGGAAGTGCTATGATAATCTTTGCTATGGAAGGCAAAGTGAAGGCTGGGAGGGGGAATCAAAGGGTGGGGCCAAACTTTTTAAATAAGTCTAGCTTGTTCCTCTACTTTAATTCAAACACGTCCTAAGCTGGAAAACAGCTGCTCTGCACTAACAACCTGCCCTGATCAGAGCTCGCTACAGATCTAACTGACTCTGAGCTAGTTCCTGTGATCTGGGACATTCCTTGGAAGTGCCTTAACGTGCTGATGAGTGACCAAAAGTTTGCTAGAGAGCAGCGACCCCTAAGAGCGGTTCTCCCCAGGCATTCACTTGGGAAGCTTAAGTTGTCTGAAATTTGACATTTAAACGACCGAGCTGGCAGTTGAGATCAAAGCTAGTTCTGAGCCGCCAATGTCGCTACCGTTCCCTAACTGTGTGCACGCAGGTGCCGTCCTACTGGTTTCAATAAACGTTGTATTTTTTGCAGCGCAATCCTCCAAGACCCCCCACCCCCAGCTGCTTTTATAAGCTTGGTTTGCGCCAGTCTGAGTTAGCAGAGAGGATCAGCCGAGATGGCTCAGAAAACGCGTTTCAGTCGCGGCCAGCGCCTCCTGTCAGGGGGTGACTGATCTGACTTGATTTTTGTCGAGCCTGTGACAGTTTCCGAGGCGGTGCCGCTTTTAACACCTCTTGCCTATTCCCCTGTAATCAGCAGCGTCGCTGGGACCTGACACGGAACCGGTCTTACACATTGTCTCCGTCAGACCAGCGGTGTGCGCGCGCCTGGGGGATTTCCCCCATTCTTGCCTGCTGGATCCCAATAGGATCAGAACTGACCAGCCCCTGGAAGAGCTTGTGTCCGACACCCCGCCAAAACAAGCCCATTCAACCAGCCTTCTCCAAAACCACCCCTAAGCTTCGGTTGCCAAGCCAGACTCCCCCCGCCCTTTCCCCAGTTCTAATCCTGCGACTGTCCCAGCATGAGTGACATTGACTTTCCTAATGTAATGACTTATGAAAGATATAATCATGTGTTAAATTGAATCCTTCGTTTAACTGTTAATGGTGTGCTCTGGGCACATTTACGTATTAGATGCTATGGTAACTAATTACCGCTAGAAAAAGGGATCATACACTTTCTAGACTTTGACAAATAATTATGAGTGTGCACAGCCCGGCTGGCAGCAGTTGCAGCGGATCTGCTGGAATGAGTAAGTGACTAAATGAATGGGTAAGTGAACTTGTGTGCATGGAGGGGAAGAGATAATGAATAGTGGTCAAGTGAGTTTTCTTATTCAAACCTTTAATGAAAATGTGATTTAGGATGGGGGGAGGGGAATGCGGTGCTGCCTCTAAACGTAATTAAATTGCGCAACATAAACATCAGAAACATAAATAAGTTGGCTTTTAATTAAAATGCTGCCGTCAAAGTAAATTATCCACGTGCTAGGAAAGTGCAGCAATTAACACTTTTTTTTAAAGTGGGTTGTTGGTAAAATAAATGAGCCACTAGTGCGTATGCTATCGCCAGGATCCTTTCTAACTGTGATTTCGCCCATTGCCAATACCCTCAGGGGCGATTTAAACTGGGCTTTTAATCAGATGGCAGAGCGAGTCACTGCCTGACAGGTACGTAACTTTAAAGGAAGTCAGTCGGCTCACGGCTCAGTTGCAGTATCGGGTTAATTGACAGGGGCTGGATTGTCTGACTTTGGTTCCCCTTTTTAAAACAAGATCGCCCGTTTTATATAAACATTAATTTAACAGATTGTCATGGAGAAGCGAAGCTGCTTCGCCGTTCAATGTGGAGCACGGATTCTTTAGATGCACTGTCTATACCGAGACTGCCACCGATTGCAGTCCGCTTTCCTTGTGCAGTGCAGCTAATTGTCCTGGGATTTGAGTTCCCTGAGGCTCATTACAGCTCCTCCTTCTCTCCAATCAGGTAGCTGGAAATGCCCCACTGGGATTTCCCCCTTAGTGCTCTCGCTCTCTTGGGGCAGGCGGATTTCCAGCTCCTGCACTCCCTGGAATTTGGCTTGTTAGTGTGGACCGAAGGGAAAATTATTTCGCGGTACTTCTTTCTTCCCTTAACGCTCCAGCAGTGCCAGGCAACACAGGGGCAGAAGCTCAAGGGAGAATATTTATTTCCTTTCCCTGAATCTTCACCTGTCCCGATCCTTCAGCGCTCCTTCCGAGAGACCCTCGTGGGCTCGAGTCGAACAACATTCACCAGAGTTTAATAATGGGCTCTCCCTTCCCATAGAAAATACTGATAATCGTTCATTCAGGCGTAGCAAGGGTTAAGCAGATCAGGTACCATCGCTTCACGCGGTAGACAAGCTGAAGTACGCAGGAAGCGCTTGCTTGATTTGGCTTTTCCTTTACACTGAGGGGTAACTCGGAAACTAAGTATATTAGTCAGTGCTGTTGCTGAAGAAACACTGCAGCACATTTGCTAAGTGAGCAAAAGCTTGTGAGCTACAGCCCAGCCCCGTGGCTCTACAGAATAATGGCTAAAGATCAGCTCCATTTCAACATGCTAATAGAAATGCTTTCTAACGGGTTTACTTTAATTTACACGGGCTATCTTCATGCAGACTTTAAACGTTTCCCAAAGCCCGTACTCGCCCTTGTCCTCTCAGCCTGATTCAGAGACGGGTAATACAACATGAAATAAATGTATGATCTGTTTCAAGCATTTGACTGCTGTATTTTTAAATTCATATCTGCACATTTAAGAACTGTGATCTGTGACTGATTTGAAAGCTATAGCAAAATGATGCATTATAGATAAACCACCATTTCCTTATATAATTGTCACAGATTAAAATAGAAAAGAAAAATACATTTCTACTAGGGGCAAAACAAACATTAATGACACTCAAACTGCTAGAATTAGAATTAAATTAACCTCATCACACCTTAGAAAGGTATCAGTGGTTACCCAAAACAGTTATTATTTCTTCTAAGAAGTTTCAGAAGAAAGTTCACCATGGATTTTTACAAATCTTTATCATTTTTGAACGTTTTCTAATTTCCAAGTATCTCTGTTTATGGCTAACTGCTCTTCTCTTTTATATCAAGATACATATTTAGGTCCAGGAATTCAGACATGCTAACAGACTGGCTAATTAGGAAACCCCATCTCTTTTATCCCACTCAAACAGTTACTGAAGAAGGTGGTGTTTTTAGGACTGTCTGGTCTCTCTCTCTCATTCTGAGGTCAGATGACTAAAAAGTAATTGGGGGTGTGTAATATTTTAATTCGAGGAAGTATTAAGTCATAACCCACAAGTGGAAATAAGTGCAAAGTACTATCCCTCTTGCAGCATTAAAATTTAATCAGTTAACACAAAGTTTAATACTAAATTCCAGCATTTAAAAACATCAATTAAAATTAGTGGTGTTCTTGGACATATAGCCATGTTCTTAGAGTGACTTTTTAAAATATGTTGCTGCATTAAAAGTAAAAAGGTGTTCTCTTGCAAAACCAAGCGACATCAGGAGGCAATTAGTGTTTCTGCATTTCACAAATAGAATTCCTCTTCATAGGATGATCTTCTAAGCTATTGCTCAATCAATGTCCATCCACTTTTCATGTACAAGTCTTTAATATCCTGACTCTTAAGTAAGTTATAGTTACAAATTTCTTCCTTTTCTGAGACTCTAGTTACACTGCTGTAAATATTTCATTTTTAGATGACCACTGAAAAATATTTACATACTGAATAGTGAATTAAATGGCCCACAAAACAAGAAAATAGAAATGGAAAGACTTCCTGACACTATGAGGTTAACAACTAAACTATTTGAGGAGAGATGCAGTAGGTGGGATGAACTGATCAAAAATAAATCATTGCTATGTCTTAAGGTGTATATACTTACTGGATCTGTTAACTTGTACTTTCTCAACTCTGCTGTACTCTCAGTCATTACTGTTTTGGTAAGAAAATAACATGTATTGTGAACAATTTAGGTCAACTTTAATAAAAATTACAGCAAATCATTATTAAAACTTCTATTAAACTTTCAGAGGAATAGTTTATCAGTACAGATGAAACAAATTTGTTTGAACTTTTTATTTTGTTGTAAAGTAATGTTTGAAGGCAAGTGTATTTCTACTACTATAAATAATCACTTAGATAGTTGAGATTACAGTGAAACACACTGCATAGCAAAAGCAATTACATAGAACTGTTTTATGATTAACTGATAAAGATCACATTGCATCCAACATTTAATTTTAATTCAGTCCTTGCAAATGAAAAATATGCAATTGTATGGTGAATGCTTCTATAGATGCAATGAAAGTTTCTTGCTACTTGTTCATTGCATTTTATACGTGAATATATACATTTCTTTAAAGAATCCAACTTTTCTAGAAGTGATACCTTTACCTAAAATTGTTGTAATTCTACTATTTTCTTGAGTTGTCACTCTATAGTCCTTATAAATATAAATTTAGCAGAATAAAATAACTGGCAGAAAAATACTCCAGTTACATTCTATTTCTTCTTAACCTTAAGTTTCTCTTTTGTCACAGTTAAAAATGTTATTTATCTGAATTGAGCATATATTGTGTAAAAGTGGTGTGCCAAGTAATTTTAAAGTATCGCACACAATTTAAATAACTTTAAGAAAGCATTTAGTGTCAAGACCAATAGTAGATAAAATACAGGACAATCAGCAACTAATTTTTCACTCACACAGCTAGTTTCTAGAACAGCAAGGATACTTCACTCAAAAATGTTAATTTAATAAAGTCCCAACCACTATGCCCTTTTTGCTTTACAAAGCGAGGTAAATGTTTTGAAAACATTATGTTATGCAAACTTATTTCTGAAATACAGCAAAGTTATGCAAGTCTGCTTTCTGCTAAATACATCTCCAAAAAAATCACACTGGCACGCCAAACTGTTAAAAATATGTATGCATTAAGAATCAAAAGACAATGTCCTCATCAATGTTTGACTTGCATATTAGAGACCTAATTGAAGAATTCCAGCAACGACAAGTGATTCTTAGAAAAGCTAAGTTTCCTAGTACAAGGACATATGTTGCAAGGTGTACAGCAGGGGTTCTCAAACTGGGGGGTGGGAACTCTCAAGGGGTCGTGAGGTTATTACATGGGAGATTGCGAGCTGTCAGCCTCCACCCCAAACCCTGTTTGCCTCCAGCATTTATAATGGTGTTAAATATATAAAAAAGTGTTTTTAATTTATTAGGGGAGGTCACACTCAGAGACTTGCTATGTGAAAGGGGTCACCAATACAAAAGTTTGAGAACCACTGGTGTACAGCAACAGCCACATTTAATTTTTTAAATTTTTTATTAATGACCTATTAAGGTTGGAACATTTTACATTTTTTTCCTTAGTTTGTCATGCATTTTGCTGTACTCAGAGGTATATAGGAGTCAAAGACTGAGGGCCACATTTGGAAATGAGTTTAATGGTGGAGTTGCACCCACTCACACGACCTTTCAAGTTTGCCATAAACATTACAGAAATATTTCCTTCCTTTACTGTCTCTTCAGGACTGGTTTAAGATGGGCAAGATTAAATGGACTAAGTATTTTAACAAATGCACAAAGGTTATCATAATCTAACATTGATTCACCTTTTTTCTCTTTAAAAATATTTTTCATGGTCAAGTAACAGAATGCCATACTCTACATAAGTCAGTATTTTTTAAAAATGAAAGCAATAGCTGAGATCCTGCATAAAGAATGTACGTTCAGGTGTGGGGGACGGATGGACAAGGAAAGTCATTCAATATGCAAATAGATACATTCAATTTTATTGTATCTTTTGAAATACAAAATTCACATAAAAGGTCAGATTAGTAAAGTACATGAAGTTTCACTTTTCTTTGCTCAGAAATTCACAGATGTACCTTATTCAATTTAAGACCCTTACTGATGGATATTAACTATTAAAGGAGAACCTAACTTTGTTCATCTATTTACAACCTGTCAGTTTACGGAATTAAGAACAATTGACAATCTTTTCAGCATCCAAATATTCAGTAATAATGAAACAAACTATAATTTCTACTCCTACAAATGAAGTACAAAGATCAGTGACTACTAATAAAAAAATAACAATTCTGAGAGTAGTGTAATACAATATGGCTTAACGAAGTAAACTAAAGCACATTTCTTATGTAGTTTTTAGTACACTAAAGCCATTTATTATGTGTTTTTTAGTACATTAAAGCACATTGCTAGAGACATGGCAATGTAGCCAAATCTAATTTACAAACAATTACACAACTATTCATATAATCATACATGGAAGCACCCCAATCCTTTCAAACAGGACTGTTCAATTGCTTACAAGGTTAAGTATTACCTATACATAACAATAAGGCTCACATTTTAGTGTTCACATTGGTTCATGAGGAGTTCACTTGTTAAAAAAATATTAACTTTAAAAGTCCGACAGTCTTCCAGTGGCTCCCAAAAGTGGCTGCACTGGAACTGAACTTTAATTTTATATTTAAAAAGATGAGCTACTGGGGCATGGGACAGTGAGTTTTGGCAGCTGGCACAACCATGGGCAGTGTGTTCCTGCAAGAAGCTGTTGTTGATCAGCAGTTTCACTTTTTAAAAGGATTGGGCAGTGCACCTTTCTACCACAAAGGGGAGCAAAATTGAGATTCCAGTGGCTTGAGTGGCACCTGAATACCTCCCGGCCTGACATACGTAAGGAGGAGTCCTATCTAACCCTACTAGGTATGTGGGAGGGATGGTCATGACATTGCAAGGCCTTTCAGGGAGGTAATGAATAGGGTTCAAAAGAGAGCAAAAAACATGACTTTTTAAAAGAAGGATTCATGGCAATTCCACATTGTACGCAATGAAATAGTCTGTACATATATGACCAGATATCCATTTTAGGGATCTAGTGACACTGAACACTACTCAAGGCCTGGTTTTTTGGTTTAGGTTCACACCAGAAACATTTGATGGGATTAGGGTGACCAGATGTCCCGATTTTATAGGGACAGTCCTGATTTTTGGGTCTTTTTCTTATATAGGCTCCTATTACCCCCTACCCCCGTCCCGATTTTTCACACTTGCTATTTGGTCACCCTAGATGAGATTACAGCCTTGCACTGCTCCCTGTCTCATGCAACAATCACGGAACTCTAGCATTCCTGGGTGGCTTCATGACTGGCTAAAGCCACCTAGAATGTGTCAGAGTTAATCATGTGGGTGTGTCCACTTCAGGCCCACAGACTGTGGACTGACATGGTTTATGGGGGGAATGTCACTTTCACTCACCCACTCTGAACCCAAATGATCTGTTCTGGGTAGGCTTACTGGGTAGGCTTACTGACCTCAGACTCTGACTGATCCAGTGGGTGTCAGTTACAAAGAAATCTAATTGGACTGGCCATGGTCAATATGACCCAGTTTGCTGGGGGTTATGTCCAGTCAGTCTTCCTAATAAAGCATGATCCATAGAAACAGCTGGATGAAAGCCCCATCTCCTCAACTCTCACACATACTTCTTAGCAGGGCTTGACCCTACTAACATATGCAAGATGAGGTTTGCTCTTTGCAATGGATTGAAGTATGCGAGGCACTCTTATGAGAAGGCCACAATACTAGGTTGCGCCATTGCTAGGCATGGGTAGAAAGTCCGAGGATGGGATCTTACCAGGGGATGCCAGCTCTGGACAGCCAGTGTTGGGCGTCTGGCCAAGACATCATCTAGATTCTCAATACAGCCTGGGTAGATCGGAGTCTGTTCAGCAGGGACTCTCGCTGCCTGGTTTAGGTTTGGTTATTTAACAAAAGGTAAGGCCAATTTTACCTCAAATCAAGTATTCAGTCCTGTTAGATGCAGAGCACCCTATACTCCTATTAAAGTGAGTAAATATGTAGAGCGTGCTCAGCACCTTGCAGGACTGTGCCTCAACTTCTTACTTGTGACCTGATGCTTTAAGATACAGCTGGGGATATAGATTTTTATTTGCTTGTTTGCACATACTTGTTTTATTTCTGAATAGATATTTATACTGACTGATCAGTGATTAATCTGAAACTAGTAATGTTTTTCATTCACTTTTGGCACTGTCCCAGTATGTCCTACTAAATTATTCTACAGCAAGTTATACTCTAATTCAAAATCCTAAAAGCACAGTATGAGTCAAAGAAGGTCTGATGGTTAAAACAAATACCTACTTTTATTTTCACAGTTGCTTCACATTTGTTTCAAAATGGAATGCCAACGAAAGATTGATCAGAATTGTGGCATGAGACATTTTACAGCTTACATTTAAGCAATAATGTCTATAGTCAACATTGTAATGATGTCAACATTTTCTCTCTCTCAATAAAACAGGTTCTAACGTCCAAGAGGATCGTGAGCGATGGCTGAATATATAATAGCTGCGATATTTGCCTACAGAGTCACTACACTAGTAACTAACCTGAATATGAAAGGCTGTATATAAAAACAAATTTTATTCTATTGAGCTGGAGTATACAAGCAATAAACAGCTTTTGCAGTTGATTAAATGTTGAAGCAAAGTTAAGGCATTTAATCAACTGCAAAGCCCATTTAACATAAGTATACTCCAATACCATAGGTAGTATTGATATTATATATGAAGAGAAAATGTTCATTCAATATATCTCACAAAAACAATTTTCTTCCCAGAGGCCTGGGAGCTTAGATGTGCCAATCTTTGAAAGTCTTTCTAGTGATGCTGATTTGGGGTATATAGTTTACATGAATAATTAAATGGCCTCAGGCATAAACAACAAATAATACTAATCCTTAGTATTTACATAATGCTTTTCATCCATAGGTCTTTAAGTGCTTTAAAAGAGGGGAAAGATTTTCCCCATTTTAAAGATGAGGAAGACCGAGGCACAGAGAAATTAAGGCTTACTTTAAAAAAAAATGTCCACTAGCTTTGGTGCTCAATTGGATGGAGACACCTTTGGCCTACTTTTCAAAATTTTCAGAGCATCTGCAGCTTCCATGGAGCTCAAGTGAAGTTGTGGGTGCTCAGCATCTCCGAACACTAAGCCCTGGGTGCTGTCAATTTAGGGCACTTAAAAAAGGAGGCACTAAAAATGAATGAACGCTTGGGAATTTAGTTCTAAATTACTTGTTCAAAGAACACTGAGATAACGTTCCACAATTTCCTTTGTGTTCTTTGACTCTGCATGAGTCACTAATTACTACTCAGGCGTGTGTCTATAAATGGTTATGGGACAAATTTTGTCTCTGCTCCCATCCATGTAGCTAAAACAGTAAATTAGCTTTGCAACTACAGAGACCAATGCAAATCTGGTGTGGGACCGAGCAGAGGTTGGTTCCCCAAACTAGCAATTTATGTGCTGACATGGCTCTCCAACCTCTTTCCAGTCTAACTTCTATAAATGATAATTGTATGCTGGAGCACTTCTTCAGGGCAGGTACTGCTCACATGAAGTGACTTCTGGCTTTCTGGCCCTGTCTCCAGCTGGGGAGAGAAAAAAAGGGAATGAGGGGCCTACGATCTGCATGAGTACTCAGGAATGAGGAGCTTATTTATGAAGCAGAACCCTCGGGTCCCACTTACAACTAGCTCAGCTCTCCCTAAGATCAGTCCACAGCTCATTTATATAGTTGTATGTGGTTACCACATAAGGCGAATGGCAAAGAGCAGGCTCGTAGCATCAGTAAGAAACTGTGTATAATTGATGTGGGGAGAATTTCCAGAATCTGTAGGATATGCATGAGGCTGAAGTTGTTAGCTTCTTGTACAACAGCAATATTCTTTAAGTACCACAACATTAAGTAGGCCACAGCTTTTAAATATGTAAAAGACTAGGGAAAAATGGCATTCATTAGAAGCCACCTCTCTGTAAATAAATCCCGCTTTTAGATTTCTAAAAAATTGTCTTAATCACACAGAGTTTCACTCAAATTCCTAGCACTTTAACTGTCTTTAGAACCATCAGGAATGTGGTGTTAAAGTTATCTTAAACAGGAGTCAGTGATACAGACTACTTCACAATTTGTAGGTATAGTATTCTAGTTCTAAACACAGATTAAATGACACCATCAACTTGAAAATTAGTCATCTTTTTAAAAACAAGTTAAAAGTAGTTTTAGTACGAAACTTTTGTCCTTGAATCCTCCTGCCAATTTTTGTGGTTTTGCAATCATATTTTTCTAGAGTTTGAAAAGTGTGTGTGTGTGTTTGTGTGTGTGTGTGTGTGTGAGAAAGACAACAGGAGAAACTGGCAAATACAAAGTGATGTCAAATCCACAAAGTAAACAAGCCAAACAATTCTGTTTTCTTCTCTAATCTCTTTCAAGTGTAATACTCCATAACATTACTGGTAATGCTAGTAGGCCAAAGTCTCATTTTTAAGATGATGGTGTCATTTTAAACAGGCTCACATTAAATATGAACTAATGTAGTGCTGTGGCTCAGATAAATCAGTAGACAGTATGGGCCTGATTCAAACCCTATTAAAGTCAACAAAAGCTTCCCACTGATTCTAATAGGGTTTGAATCAGGCCCTAATACAGTAGTAGATTCAGGTTACTGATTCATATTGCATAAGTAACAAACTGTTGAATTTAAAAAGTACTCCTAAGCCAGTGAAATGCTGCCAGGATGATAACAAGACACTCCTACAAGTCATAACCCCCTTAGCCTGTGATAAACCCCAGGTACCAGAGGTTGGATTTCTTAGGGAGCAGATGGCAGAAGGACCTATTCATTTGTTTTTCTATTTACATGAAAATAGCCATAACCAAGACAGGGGCAGCACCACTAGGTGAACAATTTACCAGTAAATGCATTTGATGGAATTGTTTATATTTTTGTTCCTGAAAAATATACAGAATATATTGATTGTGTAGAACAGTGTTCATGCTGTGTGATTTGAAATGGGGTGGAGGTTACTTTCTGTTTTTTGCGGGGTGGAGGGGAGGGATGAGAGGGATCTGAGGAGATACTCACCATGGGAATTTAAAAGTTAGCTCCATTGATAGCAATTCACTCTCCTTTCCATTTGGCAGTATAATTTAAGAAAGGGCTCCCAGGAGCCCCATCCAACACTTCATTGGGGTTGGTCTTCTAAACAAAAACACTAGTATTTTTCTCCAAGGCTTTTCTTTAGTGCAAGGATGCCTGGATGAAAGAGGGGCCAATGGAACACTCACTGTGCATCATAAATTTTGGGGGTCATCAAAGGTCACACTGGACCCTCCCAGAGTAAAATCCATCAGAGAGGAAAGTGGGCCCAGGAAACCAGCAAGACAGATTTTGCGCAGTTTTAGTGACTGCTGTGCTGAGGGGAAAGGGGTTTGGGGATGGTGGGAATAAAAAAAGTCCTCTTTCTCTGCCACCTGCTCTCCAGGTCCCCTTTATTTTTGGGCAGCATGTTTTCTTGAGTAGGTGTAATGGCACCTCCAGATGGGTCAACTGTCTGTGGGATTGCACCCAAGACCTTTACATCTAAACGGCTGAGCCTCTACGAGCTGAGTTAAAGGCCCAGATATATTAGCACCAGGGCAGCAGAGGGGACAAAACTCTCTCATGTGGTCCAGCCACTAGAGGGGGACAGAGGCCCACATTGGGTTCATGTGGGTTACAAAGGCATGCGGCCACTGGCTACCCCGATTGCGATACTTCCCCCTCAGCAGAGAGGGTGTAGTGTGGAATGGCAGCTAATGACTTCTATTGGCTCAGGGTATTGTGCAGGCAGAGCCGGCTCCAGGCACCAGCTTACCAAGTAGGTGCTTGGGGCGGCCACTCCGGAGAGGGGCGGCACGTCCAGCTGTTCGGCGGCAATTCGGCGGACGGTCCCTCACTCCCACTCGGAGCGAAGGACCTCCCGCCGAATTGCCGCCGCAGATCACGATCGCGGCTTTTTTGTTTGTTTGTTTGTTTGGCTGCTTGGAGCGGCCAAAACCCTGGAGCCAGCCCTGTGTGCAGGGTGAACGTCTCAGAGTTGCTGCTTTCTTCCATGCCCCCTTATCAATTTCCAGCCACTCCTGCTTTCGTGTCTGTGGAGGTGATCCTCCAGCCCTAAGACATTTAGCATTACTCTCTCTTCACTTAAACATACAGAAGTAGGAGAGAGATGAAAGCAGAACAGGAAAAAGCAAACATGTCTAAAAAGAAAATACGCAGCCAGGAAACAGCAAAAAAGTGAGATTAGTGGGAAGTCTGCAATAGGCAGTTTACTTTTCTAAAAAGACCTTATCTTGTAACGAAAGGCAATATCAGAGTCTGGCAAGAGGATACCAAGGCCCATACGACTGTTGTTGAGCCCTATGGGCTTCTTTTCCACTAGTTCTATGTCAAAGTGAGCCAAGAATAAAATCAGAAACAGCTTCATTTCATTCATTGCAAAGAACCTGCCAGGACACATGCTGATTCCAGAGCCAAAAGGCATAAGAAAGTATTTCAGCTTTCTTCCCCCCTTGTAGAAGGTGGTTTTCTTCTTGCCATTCTCTATATAACGATCAAACTTATACACCTGAAAATAAAAGAGAGAGGGTGAAAATTAACGGAGCAGTTACATGAGCGGTTTCATTTGCAAGAGGGTGCCTCTAAAACCCTGAAGTAAGTTAAGAGCTAAGCCAAGGAACTGACAGCTTCCCCTTTTTAGTCTGTTCACTTAAAATGAGTTTTATGTACCCTCAAATTACCTCACTGCACATTAAGTGGCAGGGGCTGTTGTCTGGGTTGTTGGAAAAGGTGTGATGCCCCTTTAAGGGCTAGAGAGAGTGTTAATTGCTATGGCAGCTTCATAGCAGGTCAGCATGGGGACCCATTCCCACCAGGTGACTGGAAGAGAGAGGGGACTATTTATGTCCATGCCAGTGCAGGAAAAGCCTTCTTCTGTTCTAATTATGGGCATTTTGAGGCAGGGACAATGATCCTCAGGAAGAGGACAGTTTTTGTTTGTGAAGCATCCTATTCACCCAGGAGGCTAGATAAATTACTAGGAGAAAATTGATCTACTGCAACCCCCACATTCCCTCTCACGGTGTGGATAGTTCAGGAACTAGCCCTGATAACTTACTATCTGTTTTCTTGTCCGTCGAAGATAGTTTCCATCTGTCTCACTTGTTCACACCTGACTTTCAATGGCTTGCTATGGAAGATGTGTGCAAAGCAGGCCACATGTTAATAAGTGACCGTAGTAGGAAGCGTTTTTCTAGAGTAAGTACTCTAGAATTTACTCCAATAAGTTTAGCTAGTATCTTAGGTCCCATAAATTTAACACCTTTCTGAAGACCTTTAATATCAGGGTCATCGTTAAGGGCTAACTTGAGTTTGTGAATGAAGGAGATGTGGCAATCCTAGCTCAGTCCATGGTGAATGAAACCACTTAAAAATAGTCATGTATGCTTTGAATGAAAATAACAAAACACTTGCTGCTTATGTTCACTCATTAGCACTTGGTCAGTTAGCATACATCTGCTATAGTGCAAGCTTTTGAAAGTTAGACTTGAACAAGCAATTCAGAAACCATCTCAGCTGATAGTAAAAAAATCATAGAAAGTTTACCAGGCAGGTTCCTGGTCAAGCCATACCATGGAGGAAAAAGTGGATTGATTAGCTCTTTGCCAGAAAGACAAAAGACACTGCAATATATCAATTTTAAATAAAAATACAAACATAATAATACTGTACATTTTCTGATTGCCTGTTCTATATGTCCTACGGAAAAATAAAATGACTGTTTCCATAATGCTCTTGAACATCAGTAAAAAACAGTGGTAGAGAGGCCTAGTCTTCTGACTACCAGAACCCTGTTCTATCTATCAGATTAGAGGTTCTTAAACTGTGATCAGCAGGGCCTCCTGGCTGTCAGTAGACTATCTTGAGAAGCAAGCAGTGGAGGTGTATTGGGCTGGTCCATGAGAAGATCTGACTAGCATTTACTTAGGCTTTGAGGCGTGGGGAAAGAGGTCACCAACACACAGTTACACTTATGTAATATGATACCTAACCATAAGGTGTTAATTTCATCAGTGGCCTGAATTTAATATAAAAGTCTGCAGAGGTGAGTTTTTAATACTGAACTAATCCACAGAGCTACCTGTTTTCCCAGAAAACTTTTCCCACCCATTATATTCCCCAAATATATGATAAACCCAAGACTGTTCTTTAATAAAATTCAGTTTGCATCTCATATTCAATAGATGTGCACACTACAAATTCAAGAACACAACAGAAGTTATTTTTCCCCTTTTTGAGAGGGTCTCTGTGTTGAAATCAATGTACTCTGCAACGTACTGATAACTCATTCGCCATCAAAATGATAAAGTATATAAACTAAAGCGAGACTGTGAAAGCTGAGCAGATTTGATATTGAGAAAATATCCTCCATCTATGCAAACATGGTATTGCATTCTGACAATTACTTAGTAAGGGAGACTTCAAGAAATGCTCAGCTACAAATTTTATACATAGAGTTTTCCTTTTTTGTATATGGACAGATAGTTGGTTTTTAATAAGAAATTAGATATTGTGTTCATAGCTGTAGCAGTACTTCCATTTATAATTTCTTCTTCTGGCCAGCCTTCAAACAGCCTCAATTATGTTGAGTCGCACCTTACACTTCAAAACGAGTCCCACTGACTTCAATAGGACTACTTGTAGAGTACAATACTATTCAATGTGAATAAGGACATCAGAATCTGGCTCTTTTCCTGCAACCTGATAAACGCATTTTTATTCTTAAACTCGTTGTGTGTTTTATCCGAACAATCATCTTCTAAAAATGTGTAAACAAATCTAATTTCCCTTCTGAAGCTGAACTATGATTTGGTATATATCTGCAACTGTCTTAACAAGTGTTTAAACGAGAAGGATCGATAAACAACCACTTGCTTAGAAAATGAGGGGGCAGGTGAGGAGAAATGATTTAGTTATAAACTGCCACCTCTGCAAGATGCAGTTGGCATTGACTGGTCTTGCTTTGTAAAATCTCACTTCCTATACAGCACACCGAACTAGCAACAACAATCCTTCAGTAAAATCTATGCAAGAGTATGACTATTCAATTTGCATGCAGGTGGTGAACTTCTGAAGTCGTATTAAGGCTGAGCCAGGGTGGATTAATTTCCAGTCTTTGATATTCATTAACTCTAGCTTCAGAAAAAAATATAAGGAGATGACACAATTACCCTCAGAGCTTCACTGCAGAGCAACAGCTTTACAATCTCAAGTTCACAACATCATACTAATTGACCAAAAAGGGGTGAATCCCTATGAAGAGAGGTGAAAAAGCATATGGCTCAAGTAAGACACTGCTATTATAGGGCTTTGGAGAGTCAATGATGCTTTGGGGGCACTTAGTTAAATGATCCACATTATTTGCTATTTAAAGCACCTTCTATTATTCAGCCCTTCTTGGGTATCAAATGATCCACTGCCAAACAAAACCCACATTTAGCCTAAAGTTTATGGTAGTCAATGTGCAATTGTCAATTCCTTTGAAAGCAGTAGCAGTCAGTCTCATCACCATATTTCTCTCTTCAGGCCATGAATCCTTTGACCTACAGGGCCCTAGAAAATACATTTGAAAGTAGGAAGATTTGTTCCACAAGAAGGAACAGCAGTAAAAAACTATCACCAAAAGCACGGCTGCTGCAATGTGCCTGAAGTATGATGAGTAGCACCAGCTGAATGTTTTACCTCAGGATCTTCATAGACCTCAGGGTCCATGTGCAAAATTTGAGGGTAAAGAGCGATCCAGTCTCCTTTCCTCAAACTGACTTCCTGATTTCCTCCAAGCTTGAGAATATAATCCTCTTGGCTGATCCGAATGTTCATGGAAGACGAGCACATTCGTAAACTCTCGTTTAAAGCACTCTCTGAATTTAAACAAAGAGGGAAGGAAAAGCATTAAAATATGGAAGATGATTGGAAGTTATACATGGCTACAGCTGCTGGATCGCTACAAGTTCAGTAGGGCAGGCTAAAAAAATCCCCAATCATGCTAGATACTACGAGGAGGTAACAAACTATCCCGGAGGGGTTGGGGGAAAAGCTGCAATTCTGAACCTTTAGATGTAATTCTCACTGATGGTTCTGAGGCATCTTGTAGGCTTTAGGCAGTAGTGAATTTTGGGTGGAAAGCCATTATTCAGGCATCATGCTGAAAACAACACAATCGAAAGAGATGAATGCTTTATGCATTTACATATATTTTGGAGTAAATACCAGTCAAAGCACTGAAAGGACTATTTAGCCTGCCTTTCAAAAGCTGTCGGTTGTAATAGAAGGACTGTGAGAAAAATCATTTAACTTGTTAATAATGTAGTAATTTTGAGGTATTTTGAGGCATTTTTTAATATCCAACAAGATATGCTGCCAAACTCTGATTTCGATTATTTTCAGAGTGAATGTAAACAATTTGCTTGGCAATTTTAAAAGAGAAAATTCTTTTATTGAATCATGAGAAAAAACATTCTTCTCAGTATTATGGCAAACAAGATTCCTAACATCATCATATCCTGGAAGGCTCCAGAAGCTGAATGTCCTTGCTTTCCCAGTGGCCTTCACCTTTTGCTCCTAGCACGACAGATTTTATGGCTAATTTCCGGCAATTTATCCTGGCAGTTTGAGGAGGAATTCCTTTGGGAATAATATGCATAATTTGCATAAATCATTCTGATAGCATGCATATCAGCATGTAGCTCCTGTCTAGTGCTGCATCTCTCACTTTGTAATCAAAACTGACTATTTTTCCACCAGCATTTATGGGTGCTGTAATATGCGACTTGATTCCTTCTAATCATCAGTGTGAAAAATAGCCTAAAATAGAGTTTCAGTTTCACATGATAATACATTTATGACCATATTAATGCTCTGTATTATAAAATAAACCTCCTCTAAGTGTCTAGTGTGGCACCATAATCCCTGCACCCAAAGGTTAGTTTATTAGAGACAGTAGCTACACAGCATAGATACATCTGAAAAAGATAATAACAAACGTTCTTTCACTAAAAATTAAATCTGGTGTAGCATGCATAGCAAATAAAGCGGCCTTGGATGCTTTCTCGCAGGAGGTTTTTCCTTAAGCGTGCATTTGTCTAAAGAAATGAGGCTGCGGTCAGCTTTGTGTGGCCAGCGCTGTGATTCAATGTGACGCACAGTGAGTCTGTGCATATTCTTTTGGACTGCCTTCGTTACTATAATCAGGCAGAGTCAAATCGGCTTGTTGGTGACGAAGCCAGAAAAGAACTCTGGTTCCAGAATATGGCCTCTACTGCGGATAGCCACAAGGCACCTGACACGATAGATTTCAACTGGCAGCGCTCTGGCAACAAAACTTTACACGGTACAAAGAAAAGGTCCAGCCTCCACTCTTGTGCTGTCTCCATCCTTGGAAAAATGAAGCTGATAACACCACTTTAGTCTACAATATGAAAATGGTAGCTGACATATGCAGCAACACTGTTCACCCAAGAAATCAAATAAGGAGGAAAAAAAGAAAAGCAAAATAATTATGGACCTGCTGCTGTGAAATAGCAGGTTTACATTTAACATCATGAGCTACACGGTCACATCCTATTGGTTGACATTCTCCCAGGAAGCATGGCAGTCTGTGCTCATTGCAGTATCACAAATGACAATTGGGCAAGCATATCTTATGCAGAAGTTAATCACAATAATGGAGCACAAAGTGTGGCTTAGCGGTCAGATCGTAAATGACAAATCTGTTTTACCTTCCAGTACCAGTTATGTGTGGAAGGCGAGCTTGGCTCTAGCTCTGAGCGATCATGCCGATGATCATTAGATGACAAAAGTAATGAGTCACATTATGATCAACAAAGGAGAATGGAGCTTAGATGGGTTTGCAGTCTAACATTAAAAAATAGACACTCAGCCTTCCACAACCCCGTATGAATGCTGGAGTTATACATTGAGAAGAATGACAACTGCACAATAAAATTGCAGCCTTTACTTGCAGTTGTCATAGTTCAGCAGACACCAGCCAGTGCTACTGACAGACCAGCTGGGTAGCTTGGGAGGCCTTCCATTCTGCACCATGAGGTACAGTAAATTATCCAGCACGGTAGAGCAACATCTGTTTCTGTGCTAGTGCCGAACAAACAAGGCAATTTAAAGCATACCAAGGGATAACCAAGCAGCAAATGAACATGACCCTCATTTTTTTCCCTTCTTACACACACGAGATGCTAAACTTCATTGTACAAGCGCTACATAAAGGGGAAGCCAGGCTGTTAGTTGATAAGGTGTTGTCAGAGCGATTTTACATATTTTCTATAAAGAGAGAGACATCTCATAGTATTGTTATTCTTAGAACCCTCCCACTTCTGTCTTCATTTCTCTTATACCAAAGCTAGCACTCAGCTCTCAATTCATTCTAGATTTTTTTAAAAAAACTGTTTCAATATACTTATAAATATTCAGTCTTTAAACCTAATTTGCTATACTTAGTTCACATGCCTTCAAGCATTTGTCTTCCAATTTCCACTGAATAAATGCGTACTAATGAGAAATAGAGCAAGCTGCTGAGGCAAAGCTGGGTGACTTGAGCCTGGCCTGCCACCAGCTTGTGATAGGCAGGCAAATTGAGTTAAAATGAAAAGTCTTGTCAGCTGAAATACAACATGGTAGCCAAACAGCAAGCTGTCAATCATCCAGCCAAAACAAGGGACTGCAGGTAATAAAAGGTCATTGCGAATCATTAGTGCATTTGGCTTTCATATGCAAGTTAATTTTAATTAAACATGATCTCTATCTGTAAATGTTTTATAAAACTTATTGTGCATAATGGATTGTTAATTTTATACTAACATTTAGCAGGTAATAGGGCACTATAATTATTAGAGTGTATTATAGAAAAATAGCTTTTGAGTATGCAAATATTTTTGGTGATAATTTACATCATGAATTATAGTGTGCCAACATAAATGATAATGTCTGAAACAAGTGTATCTGTGGCTTACTAAGAACTGAGCAGTACTGACCAGCACATACTAGGGAATATATTTATTTTTTCAAATGTCAGCAACATTTTTTCATGCTTAACACTTGCATTGCAGCTACTTAAAATTTTTCTACCTTTTCATATACATACAATTATTTTTCAAGCAGTTGTCCTTTAGAAACAAATATCTGGAATTCAGCAATGTCATGGGGCAAGAATACTTCACAATATGAATTAACGTAAAATTATAAAATAAACAAAATAAAGAAAACATGGCTGGAACAAAATGTGCGCTAAATACCATTATTGTTTACTATATATTAGAGCTCCATTGTGAGTCATAATGACTAATAATGTATGTTACTCTGCACATACAAATAAGCACATTCTGGTTCCTGGAGAAGTCAGGACAAAAAGGAAACTGTGCTGTTCCAGAAATAGCTGGGGGGGAAAAAAATCAGGCCTGTGATTTGGTGACAGGTCTTAGTTTTTATAGAAGTCTAAATGATGGATTCAGAAGTCAGTCAAGCCATACTGTTCCCTAGACCAGAAAATTTGACCACAACAAAGATGATGTTTCTTTTGACAGATCTTGACTATTCTTCTTCTCCAAACTATGAGGAATCAAAGGTCCTTATAGCTATAGTAAGACAAAACAGGGTTGCAGGAATCAGAACATTTAGAACAGGAAAAGAGTAACAAGCGTAAGATGACAAGGTGATACACATACAAGAATCCCACCCGGTCTATCTTACTCATGTCGGGACAGAGGGATGAATTCCCAATTCTGTATGCACTGGGTTAAAGGGTGAGATGAAAAGGGAAAAACTTGTTCTCAGATGCTATGGTTAGAATGCTTTAAATGTATAGATGGGGCTTGATCCTGCTTTCTTTATGTACTCAAAACTGTCAGTGTAGCAGCTGGGAATTTTGGGTGTGCAAGCAGTGCAGGATCAGCCCCACATTCTTCCCAATGTATTATTAGCCTAGAGTCACTTTTCATTAAAGCATTTATTTAATGCACCTAGCTGTAGGCGGATTTTTCTCTTTTTTTATTGTTTTGTGGGACTGTATCTGTTCCTTTATGACTAAAGTGAAAGAAGAACTGAAAGCTGGCTTCTGTTCATACAACATTCAGCTTCATCAGATCAGAAAATTTATCAAACTTGTTACAAAAATGTCCAAGGCAGAATCTGCTGCCCTCACTTCCACCCAAACATATAAATTGACTGGTACTAAGGTACTGGAAGGTTTCAAAGAACATCAGTTTGGATGATATATTTAATGTTTTTGAACTTTTTGCTTCAGATGGTTTTAGTGAGGTACTTAAATTGGTTTGATACTTAATGGCAGTGGGTGCAAATCATGAAATAGTTACTTTACAAAACTGTTTAATTTTTAAAAAGCTAAACATACAATAAGGACAGACGTTTTAAGTTCAGGATAAGGCCGTCTGGCCCAACATGCTTATCCTTTTCACATTTTCTTTCATTCAGTCTTCCTGTTTTTTCACCATACCACCCAGTCTCCTCTTCCAAACACACAATAAGTTGTCTTTTGACCTCATTTAAACTTTTTCATTCTTTCCCGGGTAACTTTTTCCATGCATCTATTAACCTTGGTATGACATAGCTCTACTCATGTTCCCAAACAACATAGATTACATGCTTGGAAAGTCATGTAGTTCATGGACATTCATTCAGAATAACATTGTCCATCTCCTCTACATCAAAAATGTTCTTTATCAATTTATAAAAGTAAATCTTCACCAACAGACTTCAGTGACTCTGTAATGAAGCCAACTTTCTAAGTTTATATACAGTTGGATGACCGTATCAGCCTGTACCAAAAAGGTGGGGAAAAAACAAACTCAGTTTTACATTTGTTCTATGATAATCAACTCAGTTTTAAGAAGTGAATGTAAGGGTTTGTGACACTTGCCAGATAAGACAGCCCTGGAGAACAGAGGCTTCTATTATTTGCAAAACAAGTACAGTGTGAGCAAAGAATGAAAACTCTTCCCATCTTTCTTTGCTAATGTGTCTCAGCACTAACCTGAAGGGATCTCTTCAAGGGGTGGAAAAGCAATTCAGGCACTGATCCAGTAGGGCAGTTAAGCACATGCTCAATTTCAAGCACACAAGTGGTTCCATTAACTTCAATAGAACTTCAGTCTCTATGTTCTCCTTCAGTGATTGTCCATGCTATAACCAACTGGTGACAATGGAGCCTTGTGTCAAAGGATATGGTAGACATTTTCAGTGGCCTAAGATCAGGTGCCTGACTGCCATTTGTCGCTCTGAAAATCAACCCCATTAGCTTTGTGCTGCAGGTGTTTGTGCATTAGGAAATGAACAGAGACCATCAACTCATTACAAAGGCCAATCCAGTCACTAAATGGAAACAATTTTCTATGTCTACTAACATGGTTCACATTTGAATCAGCGACCTAGAAAACTCTGTAATTTCTTACCTATCCCTTAAGATTCTCCATATTATTTCAAGGTTTTATTCATTTTTATTACTAAAAATATTGGATCTCATTGGCATCTCTACTTGTGTTTGGTTAGGAGTCACACATCTGAGGTTACTTTAAAACAAAACAAGCTTTTTTTTAAGATCTAAAAAGATAAAACTGGTTTTGGAAATAGTAAACTACATTTTGAGCACAAATTGATTTTCCTAACTACTTTTATTCCGTTCAGGAAAGGGTCTTTCTTGGCAATACACTACAGAAGTATCTGAAATGCATTAGCACTTCGGCAGATGCTCAGAATCAAACAACTTAATAGGCATATAAACTTTTTTCAAATAATTGCAAAGCTTCGATTTAGCCTTTTGCATACTTTGCATAGTTAATTACCTAGGCTTTAATGTTTACATGCAATGAGAGTATCTACAGCTATAAACTACATAATTTATAATTGATGTAAATGGGTGTTATTATGTCAATTAAGCAGCTGTGTCCTCCACCTTCTCAGTAAACAGAAATGAGTGATAAACTGAGTTTGCAGAAAGATACCCTCTTTTCTTCACAACAGATAAAAATAAATTACCTAGGTAGACCAGGTTGTCCAATTGTTCTCTGGTGAGGTGGATGGTATATCCAGGCCCTTTCTTTTGACCTGTTGACTGCAGCAAATGGTCAATTTCGTCACGCACCACTGCAAGAGCTTCTGGGTGCCGCAGAAGATAATACATGGCCCAGAATGTAGCTGGAATCGTGTTTCCCACAGAGGCCCACAGGAAGGCAAAATGATGTGCTGGGAGAAAATAAGTGAAAAGGAAGATTAATAGCGTTTATTACACTGATTAGATTTGCAGTGTGCTAATTAAAAGATGTTAGGACACAGACCCAGCCAAGGATCAGTGAATGCTAATGAGGACCAATAGGCTTCTGAAGTCTAATTTTCTGCTTAATGAGAATAGTTTGAAATGTAATGGGGGGGGGGGAAAGGAAGAGAAGGGAAGTAAATGCTGCTCAGTTATAATCTCTCTCATTATCACCATTAAGTATCTTGTTTTACCACCTCAGCCAAAAAAAAAATCAATTATCATAGATGGTTGTTTCAGAGTAAAATATTTTATCATTAGCCAATTAGAAAGAACATAAAAAATTTCAAGGTCGCCATTTTGCCTTTTTATTTCAAAGGTCTATAGTAAATTATTTTATTTTAGACAAGCAATCATTCATAAGTTTCCTACCTGCTTTGTCATAATCTTGGAGCAGCTCATATTTCTCTAATGTATCTTTTCTGGCTTGGATCACTTCTGACCCTCCCATCCATTTTGCCATGTTCCGAAGTAAAAAATGATGTATAAGCTCCTTCCGAATCTTCTTGGTAACTCCTAGCAACTCAATTGGTATGTTTGCAACTAAATAGGGAAAGTTGGCATCAAACTTGGTAAATTTGTCTCTGATTTCACTAATAACATTGTGGCCATCTGCAGCAGGATCTCTTCCATATAGTGTTATAAAACTGGCTTCAAACATTAGAAAGCTGCAGAACTTGTACATTTTTTCTGTTTTCCAATCTGTTGCTTGTGAGCATTTCCATTCAAATATATGCTGGAGATTTTTCATCATGTGGTCAGAAATTATGTCCAAAGGCTTGCCTTGCAGATATTGGTAAATTCGATGCAGATTTTCGTTTAGGTTTGGGAAATTTGACAAAGAGGGATAGCCAAAAGTTCTTGATGCCATTTTATCAGCAAATTCATAAAATTCAAGTTGCTTGCTATTTCTGATCACATAAACATACTGGAATGGGTCCATGATAAAGGTAATATATCTACCTGAACAGAAGAAAAAGAACCACATATACAGATCAGTACTTTTGTGATACTACTACTATTATTAATAATATTCAATGTTAATTTAAGCCAGTGGTTCCCAAACTTGTTCCGCCGCTTGTGCAGGGAAAGCCCCTGGCGGGCCGGGCCAGTTTGTTTACCTGCCGTGTCCGCAGGTTCGGCCAATCGTGGCTCCCAGTGGCCGCAGTTCGCTGCTCCAGGCCAATGGGAGCTGCTGGAAGTGGCGGCCAGTATGTCCCT